TAAGAGTGAGAGCACAGAATGGCTTCTCAGTCGGTACCGCTTTCTTTGCCATGATTTCGGTGAGGACACATACATTCACGTGATTTATAAAGGGAGGTGTTGTCACCATATATGGTTCATTGGAGGCGTTTCCGAATGCAAATGACGTTTCCGAATGCAAGTGAAGGAGCATGTTACTTACGCACATGTGGGATTTATCAACAATGATTGCTTTCTCATGTGTGTACGAACTGCGTGCGCACGTTTGATAAATACGGATTTTCTTGTACTTGGGCAAATTCTAAATTTCATTCGTAGGACAAAAAGGCCCAGGGGTCTCATTTATAAAACTAAACGTAGATTTCATCCTAAAAGTGTACGTACGCACAAATGCTAGATTTTGCGTAGGCACAAACGTTTTTCGATTTATAAAACCATGTGTACGCCAGAACCTGCGCAAAAATCCCTTTATAAATCCCAGTCATGGGAAGATTGTGCGTGCGCCTCCCCGAAATCACCATATGGAGCTTAAAACGCCTAGTTTTATCAGCATATCATTTCCATGCACATTCCATTCACGTGACACTGTTCAACACTGTCAAAGGTAAAAGACATTAAGGGAATATGAGATACGGACTATAAATGCCATTTGTGCCATACACTATTATTGCTAAAATCATCCCACGTTTGATAAATACGGATTTTCTTGTACTTAGGCAAATTCTAAATTTCATTCGTAGGACAAAAAGGCCCAGGTGTCTCATTTATAAAACTAAACGTAGATTTCATCCTAAAAGTGTACGTACGCACAAATGCTAGATTTTGCGTAGGCACAAACGTTTTTCGATTTATAAAACCATGTGTACGCCAGAACCTGCGCAAAAATCCCTTTATAAATCCCAGTCATGGGAAGATTGTGCGTGCGCCTCCCCGAAATCACCATATGGAGCTTAAAACGCCTAGTTTTATCAGCATATCATTTCCATGCACATTCCATTCACGTGACACTGTTCAACACTGTCAAAGGTAAAAGACATTAAGGGAATATGAGATACGGACTATAAATGCCATTTGTGCCATACACTATTATTGCTAAAATCATCCAGTATCCTTATAGTGTTTTAAACAATTTAAATCGAATTAAATTTATGCAGTTTTGCTGATAAGGTGAACATCTTTTAGCTATTTTTAGCCTATGTTAAATATTGCAGTGTAAATACAATTGTCTGACTCGGCGCGCCACTGACAAAGTATTTTAAAAAGGAAATGTGCAAATTACCATTTTCTTAAAGTTGTATCCTTCAAATACAGTGGTATTTTTCATAATGTTGTGGAGATGCATACACACGACATCAACACCTCCGTGCTGTGGTTGTACAGTAAGCTATTATCACTGGACCTATCCAAGCCGGACAATGGACCGTTCGACCGCTAAATCCAGCAGTGTCTGCCATAATATCGAAGTAAGTGCACATCATTGATCACTGTTCTCGCTAAAAATATTTTCTCATAACATGAGATCTGCAGTTTAGTTTAAAGATGGATTATTTGTGCACCTATTGCACTCCTCGCTGTCATTAGCATGCCACAGGAAAATTGATCAAGCCCATCCACTATAAAAATGTCTAAATTAATTTAATTTGTTTAACTTCTGCGTAATGATTTTATGTAATTTCAGTGCTTATTTCCATTAATGAGAGTGGAATATTTTATGTAAATGTGTATATCGAAATGAAAACAGAGTTTAAAATCATTGTTTACTTCATTACTTTTCTCACTCCAGGAAAAGGAGTGCGTACTAGAATGTCCGTACATATTTACGCCAAGTTTATTTTTTATAAATCCCGATATGTGCGCGGAAAATTGCGTACGCATATTTCTGATGGTCCTCACTGCAGAACACAAAATCCAGGTGGCGAGGTTGGATCCAGATCCAACTCTTCTCACCTTACATATACCTAAACCTGTCACGGTTCGCAGGTCTGTGGATTCCTTCTTTGTTTTGTGTGTGTGTTTTGCTGTCACCTGCGTTGCTGGGCAACTCATGATCTCTGATTAGCGATCAGGGTCAGCTGGTGATGATCAGCTGCACCCTTTATATTGAGTTGTTTGTTGTTCATTCCCTGTTGGATCGTTGTTTGCTCACTCTCGTTCTCTGTTCAGTGTTCTCCTGTCTGCTGCACTTTGACTCAGTGCGTTGTGGATGATTCCTGTGGAGTGACTGCTGCACTATTGTGGAACCACATGTTACTGTGAGGAACTCTTGCTTTCTCTGTGGAGTCCGTTGTTCCTGTGACTGTTGTCCGGTTCTCAGTCATCTGCCCATTGTAGTCCCTGCGTTGCTGAGGAATTATCTGCACCCTCACTTTTGCTGTAGTCTTTATGCTGTGACCGGTTTGGTCTATAGAAAATAAACCTTTTGAACACTTGCAACTGTATCTCTAGTCTTTTCCTGAATTATCCTGACAAAACATACCCGTCTCCACCCCCTGCTCCCTAAACCCACCCATCTCCACCCCCTAGATGTGGATCCAACCCCGCCCCCTGGATCTTTGTTCTGCAGTGAGGGGCTACTGATATTTCTATACCCATTTTGTGCATACACGATGTTTATAAATGAGACCCCAGACCATGAAGAAACATTTAACTGATTCTCACATAAAAGCAGTGGTGGAAAGAGTACTGAAAAAATATACTCAAGTAAAAGTACCATTCCCTTCCAAAAAATGTAGTGTGAGTACAGTAAAAGTACATGTCCAAAAAGCTACTTGAGTAAGAGTAAAAGAGTAGCCTATTTAAAAGTACTCCTGAGTATTGACGTACGCAATACCCGCAACCTCACACCAAATTTAGGCCGTGTAGATAGGCAAGCATATATATAAATCATTTAGTAAGCAGAAATCCGAAATTTACCTTAACATATTAAGTTAGAGCATGTAACGATCACAAACGGAGGAAAATAACGGAGTAAAAGTACCAATACATCACTTAAAATGTACTCAAGTAAAAGTACACCATTTTTAAACTACTCAAAAAAGTACAATTACTGATAAAAAACTACTTAATGACTGTAACGTGAGTATCTGTAATTCGTTACTTCACACCCCTGCATAACAGTAAAGTCACCCACTCAAAACAGGGATCTCCACTTACCCCAGTTATCGAAGGCGGGCTCTTTTCTCCTCTCCCATCTCTCTTTAAGAGCATATTTGAGCATTTTGTCACTGGCATCCACACTAACCACCTTGAATCCCTCTTCTACCAACATGATGGAATCCACCCTTAAAAAAAAAACATATATTGGAGGAAGGCATAGATTGGACTCTCTTGGTGGTATTGATCAGAGCTGTTGAAAAACAGAGTTTGAATAGGTTTAGGCAGGATAGACAACAGTTTCACTATATTTCCAGGAATTTCTGGTAAATGTTAAAGGGGTCATATGATGCGATTTCAAGTTTTCCTTTCTCTTTGGAGTGTTACAAGCTGATTGTGCATAGATAAGATCCCTGAAGTTGAACGGCTGGTTCTAACACGCCCCCACATATCTACCTCACTATGTGGGAATATTTGCATAATGCGCCCAAATGTGCACGCAAAGAAAGAAGGCGTGGTTTCAGTAACCGCAGTTAGTGTTGAAGCAGCCATGTCAGGGAGACGCTGTGTGTTTC